ATATTATTATTTGCTTCTTTTGAAGCAGACAATATTTCTATTAATGCTCCTATCAAAGCTGTTTTTGCCATTTCCATTTTCAGGCTAAGTATTGCAATTAAACACAATAAATCACACAGTCAACCCCAAAATGGGTTTTTCTGATCTGCCTTGTTGGAAAACTGAAACTTTAAGCATCGTAAACCATCAGTTTTGTCACTAATAAATGAAAATGATAATGTGCTCCATTGAATAAATATGGGATTTTCATATTTAACATAAAAATAAAATCACCAAGCTGTCAAGGGGTAATCTAAACTGCCCGAAGCAGAAAGCAAAGACATTTCAGCAAACCTGTCATCTCTCAAAACTAAAAACTAAAATAACCGAATAAAGAAGTAAGTAAATGCTGAGGGACAAAACGTGTTTCTGTTTGTTAAACCTTGCTGACAGACGAGCAAAACAACTTGTCAAATCAGCCTGTCACTCAAAATTGTCATAAAAGTGACTTTTTGGTTTCTTTTAAAATGTCTGTTATTCATGGCACATTTACAAAAACAACAAATGTCATAAATTAAACATTTTATTGTAGCAAAAACCTCCTCTAAGCCTGTGATTCTCAAACATTTTTATACCTTTAAAAGGAAAATTCCAGCAAAGTGTTTATTGTGTTATTAGTGCCAAGTATGCACGGTTTGCATTTCATTTCAAGTGACAGATCAGCAACACGCACAAATGCAACACTTGCCAGCTTATTTGTATATTTTTTTGCTTTGGCAGCTCACTCATGGCTTCAACRTGACACCTTCTCCCACCTGCCAACCTTTTCTAGCTGCACTAATGGATGAACTCCKCCCTCACTGATTGTCACTACATGTAGCCTGCACCTGCACAAGCATCACTTCCCTAAGCTGCATGCAGTTTTATATCAAAGACTAAATGTGCAAAAGCAATGCTTTATATTGGAGGAGAATAATGTTATGTATSTCCACCCATTTTTATTACATCTCAAAAAAAAGATTAAATGTCCATGTTTTACATTTGATTACAGAGAGACCGTGAACATATTTCTGCAATAATTTCTAATACCTATGCCTTCAACACCATAATGACTGTGTCCCCTTCATCTAGTTGGCTTCTGTGTTTTCTGCTGTATTTTAAAGGCTCGATACCCTTACAAAAAGCCAATGGCAGGCATCGGGTTGTGAACTAAAACGGTGAATCCTGCAGAAAGGTTCTGGATTAGGTTCTGTCTGTCATACTTAAGTCCTGTATYTAAGCGAGGCCAAGATAATTACAGTGCTTTTTTTGCAAGAGCCTTTCTTATTTAGCCCCCACCATTAACCACTGGAAAGAAGTGGCAAACCTCTCATGTGCCTGATCGCTAAAATGGCAAGCTTRTTTTCAACACCTGCTATCATTGTTTATTTTTTTTTCTTTCTCCCTCTCTCACTCTCTCCTGTGGGAATTAATACAAGAGAACAAAGTGTTTGCAGTGTCACAGCTAAGACAACTCCAATCGAGGGTTTTGGATTTACGTTTGTCCTTATCGACCGTGAGGAGTTTAGCAGGAGTGGGGAAAAGATTTAAAGCCCAACGTGTTCCTTTAAATTCCTTTGGGGGGCTGTTAGCAAAATTGGAGCGATATTTTGACAGCTCTTAATGGCTGCCCACCTACAACTTATTTTTTTTTTAAATCAGCATGCTTTTAGGCAAGAATAAAATAATAAATTCAGTCCGATAAGCATTAATATTTGCAACATTTTATAAAAAAAATGCCATTTTCTGACGTTAAAGCTTTTTTTCCCGACAGAATCAAAATCTGTGCAGATGAAGTCGATATTACCTAAATATAAGCCATCATTGGCTCACAATGAAACACACTGAAACAATAGTAACAAATGCTACAGCCCTAATTTTATTGTTATTGCTGAATTCCAGGAGACACACCGAGACTTAATCTCAGCACACAAACTGCATGTGACAGCTCATTATTAGAAAGCAGTTCCCATCCACCGAAACCAAACCTCATCTCTAACAACGTTGTAAAARTATACAGTGACAATGTTTGCCAGAGACAGCTCAGATGACGTCCACGCTCCTATTTCTGTAACAAGGCTGTTTATTCTCATCCCCCCCTGTMTTTTACAGAAAAGCCGTGAAAGCCACCCTAGTCCTGCTACCTCTGCTGGGCATCACCTATATGCTGTTCTTTGTCAACCCTGGCGGGGATGACATCTCACAAGTCGTTTTCATCTATTTCAACTCCTTTTTGCAGTCGTTTCAGGTGAGATTAGCGAAACGCTCTCGGTCAAAAAGCCCTCACACGTGTCTGCAGCGAATCAATCCGAGTGTTTTACTGCAGAGTTGTATCGTATCGTTGAGCTTTCCTGTGGGAGGATAATTTGAGTTAGCATCCTGGTGGAGCTTACACAGACTTTGTCCCTCCTGCCTTATGTTCACTGCTCTCAGCTGTCAAGATTACCCGGGCCATGTGGGCATGATTTCTGCTCTGTAGCTTCCCCCAGTTTCCTTGCTTTTTGCGCATCATTATTTCCCTAAACAGAAAAAAATAGTGTAGCTTCAGTTTTATTTGTGCTAAAACTATATTTTGCTGTGAAGCTGCAACACTTGTTTTTTTTTTCTTTTCTTTTTTTTTTTGTTGAGGACTGCATCATTAATGTGTCATCTTTTTTTCTCAGCTAAAATGACAAAGCACTCCCCTATTGTTTTCATCTAATTATAATGTGTGATGTGTCTTGCAGGGATTCTGTGTTTCAGTGTTTTACTGCTTTCTAAATGGAGAGGTGAGTCACTGTAGTCTGTCAATAATGTGCCTCTTAGATTTGCTATTTCAATAAAGTGCTTCACAAATCTCCTTAAATTATTTAGAGGTATTTTTTTCAAATTTATTGTTAGTCACAGTTTTGTTTTAACTTCATCTGACATCAGCAGTTTTATAACTCAAATAAGTGAAAAGAGATTTTACGTTCTTTCTGTGAAATTGCACACATTTTTTTGCTGGTCCCTTTAAATATGATAGAAAACCTTGGCTAAGTGCTGCCATTTCCCTCTGATTAAAATAAAAGCAAATGACCAAAATCCCAGCAGCTGTTTGAAAGTCATCAAAGCCAATACAAGAAGCGCACAGTTGATGGTAATTGTGACAAATGAATGCTTTTCCCTGCTCACCCCCATTCTGACTGGGAATGTGGAGTTTGGTGACTTTGGTAGAAAAATGAAAATTATTTTTAAATCTGTTTTTGCGCAAATTGATTATGGCGGCAAAATGAGTTCTGGAAAAATGTGGTCATAATTTCCACAGTTAGGTCTCCAATTTATCTCATTATTTTTACCGCCTTGTAAGCAGCAGTTTAAATACCACTCTTGTTT